ATCATCTGCACATTAAAAAAGCAAAGAGATAATATGTCCTAGTACTGTCTGTACCACAGCAATCTCTATATTTAGAATGCACACTGCAGAGATACTTCTCCAGCCTAATGGTAGATGTTTACTTTTAATACACAAGCTATATATAAAATGCTGAACTTGGACACCATGACTAGCTACAATACAAATTATATGAAAAAGATGCTATTTTTCTTCTGTCTCATTTTACACAGCTCTAAGAAACAGCAGATGCCTCCTCCAGTGGGCCACGAAGTCTGTGGCCTACCTTTCAAATTTCCGTACTGGCATTTATTGTGTTGAGGTTCAAATCCCTTTACAGCTGTGGTCTGAACAAGAAAAGGGCACTTAAGGGAATAAGACTACAACTTGCTCTTCTGGGTTACATTAAGATCCATTGATTTCCATCTGTTACTTGAAGAAAACAGAATGCATTTTTGGTAAAAATAAAATTGCTTATTTTGGAGAATATACTTTAAATATATTTGATGTTTATGGTCTGTAAATTGGACAGCTCTTGGACAGTTCTTCTTAGAGTTACTTAATGACACGAGTGAGAGGAAGTCACTATGTGCAGAAGACCTATTTTCACTCCAAGCACAAAAAGCTCTTTCATTTCATTACATCATCAGAAGCACTACAAAAAGCGTCCCACCTGCAAGTCCGCTTGCCCTCTCGTTCAGCAAAGCCCTTGGGCTCAAAAGCACCTGTGTGTGTGCTTTGAGTTCAGCATGCGTCAAAGGACTTTTCTAAACAGATGTCAACAGCTAGACCTTTTTACTTGCCAGGCCAATTTCATTTCCCCTTTGCTCCTCTTGCCTCAGAAAGAGGAGAGATCATTGCCACTGTAGAAAGCTGACCAGCCAAACCTGCAGCTGCTTTTTTTCCTGGGACTCCTGCAATAGTCAAACCCCAGGTTTAATACTGCAGTCAGACACACTGAAGACACCTGCGCTTTTACAACACATACGAACATGTTGAGCCAAACATAATGGCCCAAATATATAATAAAACTCCCAGGTTTCTTTCCTTCCCTGCAAATGCAGTTTAAGCAGCTGGCTGCAGCAGCACGTGAAGCTTTGAACCACAGGAGCAGGGCAGAGCAGCTGGGATACCCTAGGGGAGATGACCTCTTCTACTGGTATGCATTATGCTTTGATTAGGAGCCTTCTTTTGCTCCTGCAGGTGGAAAATACCCGTCGCCAACATTTGCCCCTGTTCACATGAAACACGGGAGCATTAAAAGACAGGATTAGTAGCATAATTTCTCCAAGGCTGCATTCAGAGGCAACCTCACCTACGCACCTCCTACCGCTTGCTCCCTTACTCCCAGGGCAGGAACACCAAACCTACCTCAGCGATGCTAACCCCTGGCTGACGGTCTCTTCAGGACTATACTTCAACTCAAGCTGTAGATTATAAATCCTTTCAGTGTTCAGTCTAATGGTATCTGAGTCTTCAAAGGCTACCCAAGTGTGTATCAGAGCCCTGCAGACCGACCAATCTTCATAGAAAATAAAAGGCAAAGAAGACATTGTTGTTAGGATTTGAGATAGTCTTTGAACAGCAAATTCAATAGGAAAAATGAACTAAGAAGCATATGCCTTACACGCTGTCATTACGAACTGCCACGTGGGAGCCTGGGGAATGGTTAGCCATTTTTCAGTCTACTCACAGTGTCCAAGCGGCTTTGACATGGACTGGTGGTAATTTAGCTAATATTACTCATGTGGACAGAGAAGCAAGAATCAACTTAAAATTAGGGAAAATATTTGTCATTTTCCTTTAAAATAAGGCAAGAGTTGCTATAGAGAGACAGCAAACTATGGTTTTATCACACACAAGCTAAATCACAGACTAAAATAATTTAATTTTGAAATTGTGGCAGAAGTTTGCAAATGATGGCAAACTCTTTGTAACAGAGTGGCATGGGAAATGTGCATATATGTTTTGGCGTAGCTAAACGTATGCAGAAAGCGAGGATGAACTTTCTAAAGCCAAATAGGGCATATAGTCATACTGAAATTTATGGCAACTTTAGACTTTCTAGCCAGCCTTAAAAAAAAAAATCCCTCGTTTTTTGTGTTCTATACCAAGTCAAGAGAATATTATTAAGAATGCTAAGTCAGGCATTCAAGAGTGAGGTAATGTCAGAATTAAGGCCGTCTGTTCAACCTTAATTTGGCCCCTTGTGAGTATGAATTATGATACTGCCTTTAATTAGATGATCACACAACATTTTTTCCTATGCCTCATTCATAACACATGATGGATGGTGCTCCCTGAATGATGAAACTGTATTTGGTTTTTTCCTTGTGGTTCAAGGTGTGGCAGCCTGCCTTATTTACTGCACGCTATATTCTTCTCTGAAAACAAAACTAATGATTCCTTCAAAGAGTTTTCTATGTGGTTTATCCTTACAGCTATGACAACATTACTAATTTTATTTTACTGCAGTCCTTGAGGGAAAAGCTAGAGTTTTTTCACTTAGCTTATCCATCTAGAACCTATTCTCATTGCTCAGGTTTTCATCAAAGCTTTGTTTCCTTCATATTTAATCTAGGCAGCTTTATTTGCATCAGCTTTGGGGAGGTACTGGCAATACATGGGAACCAAAGTCGGGGTCCCCATTTGGCTGTGTATCTTAGGTAGTCAGGCCTAGAGAAGGTCAACAGTATGGAAAATCCTGTGCAGCCACAAGATGGATTGTTCCCAAAGTGGATAAACACTTTGGAGAATTTACCTGCACAGTATAGGGAAGTGCAGGCATATTTTTTTCTAAAACCTGGACAAAGATGAATAGATTTTCCCTATGAATTCAGAAGTGTTACTAACATATTAACACTATCCTTCTTCCAAAGACCCGGCTCCACAGCAAGAGAAAAGTAGAGAAAGTTTTCCAGACATGATTTTTTTTTCGTAGACTTGCACTTGGAAATAGATGACTTGTTCTGACAAAAGGTTTTCCACCAAAAAAATAGTTCCCCCAAGAGAAATACCTTTCAGGGACAATTTAAGCCAAGATGGTTGAAATTTGGCAAGCTTACAAGTGACTTTTACTTTACTCATCATTCATCCATCATCTTTCTTAAGAATGATGGATTGTGTAATTCTAAAGGGAATGAACACAGCCTAGAAGAGCGCTCTCTGGGTACACAGGCCCCTAAGTTATTTATATCATGGTTCATACATCATAGGCTGGATTTAATGCTCTAAAATGTTTTTGACTTCAAATACGATGATTCAAAGCTCATAGGAGGTGGAGAACTTTTTGAGATCTGAGAAGACAAATTGAGTTCAAACCTTCTTGGAATACTACAAATTTCCTCAAACCAAATGAAACCCACCACATTTTGTGTCACATAAATTGCCTTTGGCCAACACTGCCAACCTCAGGGTCTTAACTGAAATCTAAGCCTGGTAGTCTGGTTTTTTTTGAGGCGCTGAATATTCACAAATTCACAGATATGAGGTATGATAATTTTAAATGTCCCTATGTTGTATCTCTGAAAGGGAGTCTTCTTTCACTTGGACACATACCTATGGATCCAGCTATGCAATTTTGATCTCTGATGTTTCTGTTCTCTTTATATTCTTACTACATTTCCAGTATCACCTAAAATGACATGGTATTAGAAGAAAAACTTATCTTGAGCAGGTGCAAAACTTACTGAGAAAGAGGGATCTTTCCAGCAACAGCCAGTTTTTGATGTCTCAGCCATTCAGTGGTGCAATAGATACACTAGAGACATTCAGAGCGTGCTCTAGCAGAATGTGTACAGCTGTGTGGCATTTTGGCAACTCTTATTTTTACTTGACACATTCTTTCCATCAGAATGAATTCTTGAATTCAGTGAAGGAAACAATCCCTGTGAAATAAAAAAAATGCAAAAATGTCCTAGACTTAACAGCAGAGCACAAGTTAAGCAAGTTCTTCAAGCGACAAACAAGTCAACAGGGTTTGTGCTTAGGGCTCCCCACCCTAAGCTGCAGTTGATAATCTCTCCGAATGCAATGTCTGTCACTGCTGCTGCTGCTGTTGGAAAGTACAGCCAAATTCCTTAGCACATTCATTGTCCACCAGTACTTCCATGTGCTACCACAGCTTTCAGAAATGGTGACTTCAAACAATTCCTAGTTCACTAAGCACAACTGAATCCAGGTTTTCTTTCCTTCCTGAGTTTTGAAAGCCTGTTGCAAGTAACAGACATCTTACCACCTCCAATAACAACCATCTACCATGATCAAGCCCTAGTTATCTATGGATAGAGCAACCATGTTGCAGTATTACGGTGCATAACAGCTCAGGACCAGTGGAACATAATATCCCTAAGGCAAGGCCACATGGCTACAGCCAACGTGCTTCCAAATTCTGCTGGGTTTGTGTGTCCTGTCCTCTCCCTCTGTGGGACCATCAGAGGAGCTCCTTCTTCTTTATCTGGCCACTTACTTCCATGAACTTTCTAGTAACTTGCCTACCTCTGAAATCTTTGCAACTCTGATCAAAAAGTTAAAAATTATTGAGAGGACAGGCACAGGCACAGACACGGTATCATCACAGAAGCCTTATTTTTGAAGGAAACCAACCAAAAAGCACATTTTTGAACTTGTGCACTCT